CCAACAAAAAAATTTTTTTTTAGTATTTTTTTAAAAGTTGTATGTACTTGAAAAAAAATTACTTTTAAATTAATTTTATAATATATTAGTTAACTCGTATGGTATTAAATCAGCATGACTTTTAAAAGGTTAAGTTAAAATGAATGTAAAAATTAGATACTTAAATAATTGAAGGATAAATAAGAGATTTTCGTATGATTAGTATTGTAAGAAAAATTCACTATTACAAAAACCTGTTGATTTAAATGAAGTATCAAGTATTTGAGTTTACGAAAAAATTTTTGAAAATAAAAGTAGTAGAGCCACTAATAATCGAGAGAAATCCATAAAATAAATAACTTTTTTGTAGAGACTAAGTAAAATTGTCATTATCAGAACGGAAATAAAAAAACGTAATCTTAAAAACTTGTAAAAATCACCAAACAAAGGATCCATAATTTGAATAGATTTCAATGCAATGCAAATAGTACTGTATTTATCAGAATCTATCAACCGTACTATTAATCGTACACACTCTAAATCGATCGATATTCGCGATGTAGCTTGATTACAGCCGATTTATAGATACCCTACACCCTGGCATACTAGTTACATAGTTTCACCACTAAACTCGCTTTCTCGTGCATTACACATTTTATCATACTATTCGTTAAAAAAGTTCAACTCTGCGCGCAATAAACACCTTTTATGCGGTTTCCATCAACGAGGGAATAGGGTGCCTATACGTGCACCGCGCGTTCGTTATTTTTATCCCTCTATATTATGCACCGTGTAACTTTGCTCTCGTTTTGTTGTTTTAGATTACAACCTAATGAATCGAGGCTCTCGAGCGAGCGGCGTTATTATAAGCGCGGGAATATGAAACAAAAGGGAAACAAAAGGAGGGAGACACCGATACACTTTCGCAAGTTAAATTGGACGCGTTTTTCCCTTTAACAGTACTTTTGTATGATTGTTTTTGGCGGTCACGCTTTGTTTTATCTTTAATTTTTTTTTCCGCGCAACGAGGGATTTTTAATTGGAAGAGAGTGGAATTTTTCGAAGCTCGTCTGGTTAATAAATGTATTTTTCCCAGAATAATCGGGATGATGACGCGTGCCCAGGAAATATCGGTGGAGTTATAATTATTTGCCGATACTTCACGTCAAAATTTATTATCGTAAATACGCGCGGTTTTGTTACGCTCAAGCTGAGAGTATATACAGAGAATTTTAAGTATCGGTACGCGAATTAGAAAATTTATGCTCGTCTGTAGTGTGGAGGTATTGATTAGATCAGTAAAAATTAATTGAAATATACATTTCCACAAATAAGTATTGCATACAACATATTTTTTGGGTGCATCATTTTTAAAATTGTAGTAAAATTACAGAAGTGTTTGAAAATCTAAAAAATAATTGTGCATAACTTTGTCTACAGTAATGCAACAAATAAGAAGTTGATGAAAGTCTATTCATATTTTTGATCGAAAGATCCATTATACGTACGGTTGGCTGTTTATTTTCCAACTTTCGATTAGAAAGTCGTGCGTTTTTTCTTTCAGCAACATAAAAGAGAAGACCACAATTTTTTCCCACGAAAAGTTGCGGGTGATATTCGGCGTTGAAAGCCATCGCCTGCTGAACCGTTAATTAAACTCTAACTGAATCACAAGTATGTTTCATCATTAAAAATTTTTCACGTAATTATCCATCTTTTTTCGCGATAAGTGTGTAAAGAAATTTTTTAATTCGTCCAACACAATTACCGACTTTCCCGATTAAATCTCTGTAGTTGCGTGTGTTAACATTCATATCGCAAAGACGAAAAGGAAGTCTTTCATTTTCCTGGAATTCCTTTCAGATCTCTATTTTCCGTGCTTTGTTAAAAAACTCCCGAGACGTGGAAAATTTTCTTCGCAGTATTGAAACGAGCGTTTCGATACTCGTCCTGTGATAGCCATTAAAAATATTTATTGAATTTCCGTCAGAGACTGCGAACCAGCATTCAAAGAAATAATATTGAAAAAGAAAAAAAAAAGTTTGTTAGCGTAAAAGCTTCAACAGTGCCGAACTGCACTTTCAGAAGATTTGTATAATCTGTCGAATGCAAATTTTCAATTTTAATTTAGAAAAGGTCTCTTTTTTATGACATTGAGAATAGAATTATAATTTTTTCCATTACTTTTTATATTTTTAATAGCTTTCCTTTTTTTATCGTGTTCTTCACAATAAAACTCTAATTAGATTTTTTAAATGTTATTTCCAACATGTAATTTTAGTGTCTGGGCATGTAGCAAGGAAAAAAAAAAAAAAAAAAAAAAAAATTGAGCAGAAAAAGAGACAATTCTTTAGCTTTGAAAAATGGTAAAAAAAGTTTATTTGTTTGGAACACCAGTGGTAAACCAGCTTCACATAATTATGATCAATGTTTTAGCATTCACCACATACAAAAAAAAAGCATAAAACTTTTTTCTTCTAAGTTTAATCACTAAACACAAACAAGTGTAAGCAGTTTTTAAACATACCTTCCAAAGAAAATAATTACAATAATTTATTTTAAAAGTATTTTAATGTTCAAGTAGCTCAGTTATTTCCCTAATGACAAACTTTTGAAAGGAATTTAACTTTAACAACGACTTTACGATACATTTTATACTTGATATAAAAATTACTTTTATCCTGTTCCAAAAATTACTCACACTCTGTAGTATTTAATATTTGCTCTTAATTTATGTTGTTAAAAAATAGCACATTCCTAAATTGTAAAGTTCAGATAAAANTTTGTATACAGTAGAACATGCTCTCGTTTTTACAACTTCCCTCTTTGTTTACTCGTAACTTTGTAACAATAATAATAATAATAATAATAATAATAATAATAACAATAATTGTAGACAAGGCTATCGTCGCTGCTGAAAACTGCCGAGGACCTACATATAAAGGGTCTGGCGGAGGTGAGTTGGCGCAGCGAGAGCGGCCCAAACGAGCTGAGCAACAGCGGCCACAGTCCAGGAGGGTCGGGTCCACCGGGCGTGGAAACAGTGCTACGCGAAGGCCACGACAGCGGTGCCGCAGAGATCGAACCACCACCGCCAAAGACGAAGCGCCGAGGCAGGCCACCCCTCGACGATCCACCCTCGGCCCACGACGTCTTCACGCCCAAGATATCCTGCATCACCGGCAATGTAGGCATCACCCCTACTACTATGTCTACTACCACTACCACCACTGACAGCACCTTATCTGTTAGCAAGGTTAGATTAGTGCTTTGCTCCCATCCACTCCTTTACCCCCACCAAGTCACTGCCTTCGTCACACCATTGCCCATATTATGCTTTACTACATATATTATGTATAATATCGATCACCCTACGATGCTTTGGCCTGTCATTCTTGTGTTTCTGCGCTTGATGATTCGTTTTCATGTCTCTCTTTTTTTCGAGGATACTTTCAATTCAGAGAAGATCTTTATTTCGTATGATTGATGAAAAACCTTGTTTAAGATATCACGTGGGAGGAAAGATTATGTTGATCAAAAAAGGTTTTTTTTTTGTTTTTGTTATTTTTACACAACAGATAAAGTAATGGAGGTTTTTTTGCTGTTAAAAACTTTTTTTTTCTCCATTAATTTTAGTACGTTTTATATTTCGGAATGATCATTTAGAAAAGTTATTTTAAAAAGGATTTACTCTGTTTTCCTTCTTAATTTATAGTCTTCCATTTTTTAAGTATTTTTTTACAGAAAAAAAATAATAAAAAAAATTCTACAAAAAAAACGTTAATTTTCTACGAATCAATAGACAACCGTAACTATTTGGAGGTATTTTTCAATTCTCTTCGATCATTAGACTACGTGACTTTGACTTAAAACAAAACTGGCTTTAGAAACTAAAATTGGATTAAAAGCAACGAAGTCAGTTACTTTTTTAAATTTCCCTAAACATCACACTTGATCAGGAAAGCGTCAGAGTTGCTGATCACCGATTTAGATAAAATTTTGGGATGTATAACCCGTAACTCTGTCTCTCTCCCAGTAAGTGTTTAAAATCTCAAAATATTAAAGAGAAAATAATTTTTGTCAAACAACGAAGAGTCGTTCACATAATGTTGCGTACTATTTTGTGATATTAGATGTCATGGAATTTTCATCAACCAATCAAAATCAGGATTTTTGAGTACAAAGTTTCCTCTAGATGAAATCAGCGTGATGATGGGTCATCTTTGATTGAATGGAATATTTTTAGTAGAGTGATCATTTGCAGAGTACTCGTCTGACAAATTTTTTCGGTTCAAATGTCTTTGTCAGTCGATCGTCATCGACAGCTCAGGTCAATAGCGACCGTTGAACCGATTTTCCTCTGCACACGCACACATAAATATTTACTTATTACTATTTTACTGAAAAAAGCTCGTGCGCACTCTAAGTCATGTTTGAGACGTCAGTTTAATCTAAATTATTTTAACTCGATGTAGTTTTATTTTTCGTTTCCAAAAATTTCCAACAGAGATACAAACGCATACCTCAGAGATAATTTGTTATTATTATATACATACGTTTGATGACGATTGGTGAACAATATTTTTTAGGTATTCGAAAATTTTTTTTATTAATTTTAATTTTTTAAACTATACTGCTACAATTTATTTTCAATTAAAGAGCTGGTCATTAACGCAATATCAGTCAAACGAATTTCGGAATTAGAAAAAAATCACATCTACTTTATGTTTATATGAATGTATATGAATAAACAGTAATGCGAAATTGTATGAATTATGCCCTAATTCTGGAAAAATTTTTCCATAGCCTTTGTCCATTCATCTAAGTCGGCATCATTATCCACCAAAAGACATAAGCAGTACAATATTCAATCATGCGAGAGTTTGTAAAATTTGCATTTTCTTTTTATCAAATAAATCGTAGACTGTATTTATTAACATGTTAGTCATCGTGTAGGTAGAATATGCATAAAACAGTAGTTTACGTAAACTTAATGCTAACAAATTCTATTTTACTTTGACGTAAATTGAAAGACAAGAAAAATAAACTGATTTAGCATTGAGGTTATGTTTGTGTATGATAGAATTAGAAATTTTCATGGAAATGTAATTGGTTGATGTTCCAATCGTTCGAATGTAGAAAAATAAGTGTACCTAGTTATGCATATACTTTATCTGCCGTTAGTTGAGTACATTTCATTGACTTTATAGATGAAAAACATTATATTTCAAAGTCACTGACAAAAAACACAACATTTCAAAAGTTGTGGACGGAAAATATTGCTTAAAAATATGTCTTTGAATCGGCGGACAAACAATATTAAGCTAGTAATTCTTTTTTTATTGCAAAATTTTGGTTTAAAATATTTATCGTCTGAAAATTTTGAAAATAGTAGTTTTTGTACCTGGTGCAAAGCAGGGCCCGAGGGACTCCTTGTGCTTACCCTGGTTGGGTGCGCACCCTATTTTTCCTACCGAGGGCACACCCAACCCTCAAAGTAGCCCAAGGTAGAAAAATAACCTTTTCCGACCTCGGGCGTTTTTGAGGGTCAGGTGTGTCCTCGGTAGAAAAAATAGGATTCTCCACATAAGTGCTATCGCTCCGTGGCTATCTTACGTCCCTTGGGCCGCAAAATAGCCCCGGAAACGACGGCACTTATCCGACGAAAACTACTATTTCCTACCTTGAGCGTTTTTGAGAGGCTGGTGTGCTCTCGGTAGGAAAAATGGTATTCACCACATAAGCTCCATCCCTCCGGGGCAACCTTACGGACCTTAAGGCCTGCTTCGAAGGACCCTCGGGCCGCAAAATAGCTCTAGAGGCGATGGCGCTTATCTGACGAAGACTATCATTTTCGTCCCTCGGGCGCAGTGCTTTGCACCCTAGGGCACGCTTTCTGCCCACAAGCAGGAAGAAACATTCGGGCCCTGTTGGGCCTCAAGTACATTCCCGCCCTACGGCGGAAAGTAATTGGTGGGCAGAAAGTGAGCCCACGGGCGCAAAATTGCACTTACCGACCTAAATACAAAAAATGTCGTTCTCACCTCGGTACAAACATACAACAACCACGTCCTTCGGGCGAGCAAATTGTAATTTCTGCCCTAGGTAAGAAATCTAGTATTTTGTTCAAAAATTATGTGTCACATGATGTTCTCCGTCTTGAATTTTTGGAATACAATCTTCATGTCCAAAAATTTCTTAGAAAAATAATGTTTCCCGTCCATGGCATCGATGTTGTCATTGTAGTTTAAATGTTTATACAGATAATCATCATAACTCTTACATTAAATTTGTGATGCACAAAACTACCAACAATTTGAGATTTTTTACCATCTTTATTCAAGTTAACGAATCTCCGCAACGGCTGAGGAACACGCTTTTTTGTATGTAAAGCTTATTAATCTTCCTTAATCCTAATTTTTTTTGTAAGGTCTCTCTTGCCACACACTTAAGCATCCACACATAATAATGCCTCAACTAACTTGTCCATCGCATTAAATAGCAAGCAATGCATAAAGCACATATCTATGTATATAATATGAACCGTTGCGAGGCTTCGTCGCAAATGTATCGTTGCTGTGAATAAAAAATAATACAATTAGATTTTTATAAAAACTTGATTGATTTTTTGTTTAGTATTAACGGCATTTAATCGTCACTGGGCTGTTTATAGTTCAGAATTAAAATCTGTATCACATGTACAGTTATTTTGACTGTTAGCACAGTAAAAAAAAGTAAAAAATTTTTTTTTTATGACAACTGACACCAGATTACAGTGATAATAGAAAAAAAATAATAATGGCACAGTAGTTTTTGTTGTTATTTTCTCTCAGTGTATGAAAGATTTCTACACTCTGAAAATTACGTACTTGACTTACTAAACATTTAAAAAAAAATGTGTCAACAATTTTTTTTGACATTTGATTCATGAAGTAAAAATCGTATATTTTGTATAAAGAGTGACGATACATATTTTTCGTAGCATCAAAAAATGACAGAGTATACCCCCACTAGAAATCACGTAAACACACAAACTTCTGTGTAAAAGCTTTTCGAAATTAATACTGTAATTTACAATTATTTGAGCTTGCCAGGGATACAAAATTAATCGGATAAAACTCGGCGATACTGCCTGCGCGAAGGGACTACGTAACATGCAAAATGTATGATTGAATGCTTTTATTGGCTCAGTTTTCGCGTGATTTTCAATTAATCTCTTTCGAGACTCATGTACAGAGCTTTTTTAGTATTATCATCATCATCATTTCATCTGTCAGTCGTCCATTGTATGTATCATGTGTATGACGTGAATAGTGATACTCTGTCATGAAAAACGATTATTAAGTGTATTGTGCTTATTAATTATTGACGTACTAATCGTTGGTGGCTGATTAACAATTATAATACAACAAATCGTTAAATAACGCACCAGCAAGCTGGTTAGCAATATGGAGTTTACAGAATGAGATTTTAAAATGATTTAAAAAATTTTTTTTTTCAATAAATAACAGGAAGAAATGAGCGAAGGCGACCACGAAAGTTGGGACGATGACATGATGATGTCCGAAAGCAACGAAGCGCCGATACCGATTGTGAGTTTTAGTCTTGGATTTTTCTCGAGTTTAGTCTTTTGTTCTAGAGTTTAATTTAATTTTTGTTCCCATTCGCAGCAGTTGCCGTATATGCCGAAAGACGAAAGCAACTCGGATCAGGAGAAGAGGGGTAAGGTGTTTTTAAAGCTTAGTACTTTATGTCTGACAAGCGCTGATTTGTTTTCAAATAAATTTTATCGAAAGTTTTCTACATACTGGCACACAAGCCGGTAGAGTGGAAGTTTCTTGGTAGTCAAAAAAAATGTGGATGGACATAGTTTTGTACAAGAACATGTTACAAATAATGAATTCATAGAAAAATATAATTTTTAAGCTCAGAGTCTTGTAAAGTCAAAAAAATAAAATCCTACATTCTTGTTATCTGAGACAGCATTGTGAACATGGTAATTCAAACGGAAATGCTGTTGAGGAACGCTATTTATCATTATAATTGCATTTATTATAATAGCAATCATTTTTTTTTTTTTTTTTTTGTATCAAAGAGATTATTTTGACAGTATTATTATTATTTTTTTTTTTTTGTAAACTTGTCTGTGATTAAAACTATTCAAGACCATTATCGCAAGGTCACTGTTCATTTTTCGATTTATTTTAATTTATTCAGTGAATCTATTCGGATACAAATACAACGTTTGAGTCGATTTGTTTTATCAAAAAAAATGTTCTATTATTTGTTCATCATTACCACCATAATACATACAGTGATTACATCTGTAGCTCAGAGATAAGTACCGATTATATCATTGGGAGTTACCACTATACCGACTTCCTGTGGTCAATAAATTTTTATTAACAAATATCACCAATAGTATAGCTCCTTAAACGTATCATGATTAGAAGAGGCACAAAGTTTGTACACTAATGAATCAATCAAGTTAAATTTACTGTAATTAGTTACAAATTAAGTGAGAAAAGTCATATTGTGTGACAGTCAAAGTAGTACTTGAGGTTATGAGGGCATTAGTACGCTTTGATTTCATGATGCAACTTTGTGCCCTACACATGTAACTGATTACAGTAAATTTTAAATTGAATGATCCCTTAAAGTATCGATTTCATGTCTCTTTTAATTATTTAGCGTAAAAGTAGTTGTAAAGTTACGAATTAATGAAAATGCAGCATAATGTAATTGTCGGTAAGGTAGAACCTTTCATCAATATACTGAATGTCTTTTCTCCACAATAAGATTTTTATTATTATCGTTTCTATATAAGAGTTGGGTTAACAAAGTATTTGATTCGCACATAAATCAAATTTCTCGTAAATTAATTCGATTCAAGTACTTCTTTAGTCAAATTAATTGGAAATCTAATTTGTTTTTAATCGAATTCTTAATTACTACAAAGCGAGTTGCTATGCAACTTCATATCAAAATTAAAAACATGTTATCTCGAAAACTGTTCAATCAACATTTTTTCAACTGTATGTAAATTAAGAAATTCGACTTTGTGTGGTCTTTTGATATAAAATTTCGTATCCCTATTCATACCTTCCGGTTAAAAAAACTTTATATTCAACATAATAAGCGATGTTTAATTTCTGATTCGAACTCAGCTAGGAATTAAGTTTAATGATTCACGAATCGAGAGGAACGAATCCTGGTTCAAATATTTAAAATACTTCCATAATTTAAAAAGAGAGTATTTGGAATGCATTTGATAAAATGTTTTGAAAAATTGCTATAAATTTATCATAAACCAACACTTCGAATGTTTGCAATTGGGTGAGGGGCAAATAAAGATGAAAATTTCGATGTTTCAGCGAACACATCGACGAATTCGAACGCAATGAACCCAGCGGTGCCGGAGCAGTTCCGCGACGTCATCAGGATGAACGATTACCTGACGACGGGTAGACGCCAGGAGTTCTGGGAGGAACCGTTTACACGGCGCGTCATGGACGCGATCAAGAGTAAAGAGCTCGAGATGAAGTCCGCGGCCGAGATACTCGGCGTTTCGTACGGAACCCTCTACGGCAGATATCGCGACAGTTATGGATGCCTTAAACACCCATACAGGTTTTTACATGCTTTTTCTTATTTTTGTGCAGACAAATTTTAATTTTGATAGCAACTGTTTAGTGTTAATTGTTATTGCTTTGGATAAATGCATGTATACCATCTGCGTTACCGGCTAAATTTAATTTTTCGTTCGATCGAATTTCACAAAATACAAGTACCAAATAAATAAGTTGAGGGAACACTTGGTTGATAACCTACAAAATTGTTGTAATAAAAACGATACACGCCATCCCAAAACTTTTCCAGATGTTGAATCAAGTCTGAACGTTTTTTATTATCTGCATTGATCGAAATACCCTTATCTGAGTAAAGTATATGGGTTATGAATTAAGTTAATAAGGGTGAACCCAATGTCGGCAAAACAGATGTTGGAATACCCATGGAGTACCGCATGCCCGTTATGATAATAATATTGTATTAACGCACATTGCTTTGCCATTGCCAGGGTACGAGACTTTTGGTCGGAGCCCGGCCCAGCGGAGATCCTCGCCAAACTCCGGCGGAAGGAGATAACGCTGTTTCGCGCTGCCGAGTTCCTCAACGTGACGGTGCACACGCTCGCGACGTACCTCTCGACGCTCCAGGGCCCCGAGCGCATATCCCTGGCGGGCGACCTATCCGTAGTCGCGGCCGTACCCATGCAGGACGCGCCCCCGTGCAACGACGCCCTCATCAGCAGCATCGGGGCCGGCAACGACAACGACCCGGCGAGCAGTATAAACGAACTATTGCAAAAGATAAACGCCAGCGCGATCGCGGTAGCGGCGCCCACGACCTCGGCGACGATAAAACGCGAGGGCGGAGGGTACGTCGAGCTGCCCTCGAGCATGGGCATGGTGCCCAAGACCGCGACTTCGCTGCTCGACAACAATCCCGACATAACGATCGTCAAGACGGAGGGTCTGCGAAAACGCGGCCAACTCGAGTACACGAAGCTCACCGCAACGGAAAACAACAACGCCAAGCTGATGAGCGGCGGAGCCGTCAGCGAGCTCGGCCAGCAGCAGCAGCAGCACGCCCATTCAGGTGAGCTTTTGAAAGCTCGTTTGTTCAGCTCACTTTCTGGGTAAATTTGTTTTATTTACGTGTATTTTTTTATTTTTTTTATTAACTTTTTGACCCTTGGTGGTGGGAGAGCAGGTCAGCAGCAGGTCACGGCTCAGGCGACGGCGCAGCAGCATCAGCAGCAACAGCTCCATCACCAACAGCAGGTCCAACAGCAGCACATGCATCACCAGCAAAAGCTCGCCACTGACTCGTTGTCGATCAACAACGACATCGGCAAGCCCTAACTATTCAGGCCGTATCGTTTGGGCCCCGACGGCACCCCGATGATGCACATGTCCAGTACGGGCTTTCGCCAACACCGACACCACCACCACCACCACCACCACCACCACCACCACCACCGAGAACAACAACAACAACAACAACAACAACAACAACAACAGCATTCCAGGATACACGGTCAAGCAGCGGCTAACAACGGGGCGCTCGAGCTTTGCCCGTCGCGGGCCAATTTCTACTCTAACGTGTTTGCCCGCTTTTTCGCCAACTGCCACCTCAAGCAGTAGTTGTCAGCCGAACTGCTACCGCGACAGCGGTTGTCGTCCCGGTGACGCTCTCTCTTTCTGTCGGGGCTATTGTGTCTCGGGGGGTATTGTGTCCGCGGAGAATCGCTGCTACGTTGTGGGAGTCTCTGGATCTATTTTTTAAATAATTTTATTAATCAGAGTTGCGTTTTTTTTTNGAGCGACAAGCGATTTAATTATAAATATGAACGTGTAATCGGATATTAAGAGAGAGACGTTTTTAATCGAGACGATGCAAGAGAAATATAACGTCCATTGTGTAAATATTGGTGCAATAGCGAGACCTAAAATTAATCTAATTTGTCACAGACAAAGTGTTTGAAAAACATTTTTGAAATGATGAAAAAGAGCAAGGAGAGACGCGAGAGTGCCTTGCATTCGCGATCCTCTCGTAGAAACGTCGTTGTTTTTTTATTTTTATTCTTGTTTTTCTTTTTTTATCAGCATCATTGTCATGGTAATGAATAATAATTTTTATCGAGACAGGAATTCGGATCGTCGATGATGCCTTAATAATATTGTCCGGAATGAAGAACGACACGTGATGCGGTTTAGTTTATTTTTGTTAATAAAACGTGTACAAAGTAAAAAAAAAAAAAATTTCAATTAACGATAAGGGAAAATAAGAAAGTCGATTCATCTGGAGATATTTTCTCTTGCGAATTTAAATATACATATACGCCTTTAAGATAAAAAAAAAAGAAAAAAGAAAAAAAAAGTAAGATTACACGCACGTATACACACATATACGGTTCAACTGCAAACAAGTAAACAAACAAGATTAGACGAAGAATAATTAAATAAAAGTAAAGTATAAATTAAGTAAGTAAGATACAGAGGCCGCACTCTAAATAATTATCGTAATAATAATAGAAATGATAGTAATAATAATAATTATCATAGTAATAATGATAATTATTATTATTACTATCATTTCTATTATCGTAATAATAATAGAAATGATAGTAATAATAATAATTATCATAGTAATAATGATAATTATTATTATTACTATCATTTCTATTATTATCGTAATAATAATAGAAATGATAGTAATAATAATAATTATCATAGTAATAATGATCGTATAATTTACGATACAATGACTGGACAAAAAAAACATGATTTTACTATTTATTAGAGTAAACGAAGTAAACTAACGCACTGTCAAAGTTCGTTGTTACGCACGTCTCGTTTGTAATCTTTAATCAAGTCGTTTCAGCGACACTATGCTCTCGCAGCGAAAAGCGAGCGGCGCTCGAGATACATTCATACAAGCTAGACTCTCCACGGACCAATTTCGTTTTTTTTTTTCCAATGGGCGTAAAACAAAGAAGCTGCAACGCAAATCGCGCATACGTTATCACACGAGAGCACTCTGACTGCAGACCGATTGTTCGTATACATGTACAAGACTCTTTGCGTACAAATTTTCCAAAGCATTGCTTACTTTCTCTCTAAAGCGAAACTCGTTATTATCTTGTGCACCTTCTTGGGCCACGACTTCGATAAATATGATCAATCGAGTGATCAAAAAACCCACAATTGTGTAAACGACGCTACTCCTCTCTACTATTTATCGTTTAATCGTTTAATGATTGCTTCTGACATTCCGAAGGACGCGTACGTTTTTTTTTAATATTATTGGCAGAAGAGGAATGAAAGGGCCGCAATGTTCAAGTCAATGTTCCTTTTTTTCGATAATTTTTATTAACAAAAGTTGTAAGGATAAATGTGAAAAGACTAGAAAAACAACGTAAAACGTTGCGTCGCAAAATGTTGGTTTTTGTTTTTATCTTTTCAACGCACCATTGTTACGCAGTTTGTTCCGGAAAACTGTTTCTTTGCGCATGGCTTTTTTTTCTTTTCAATCGAAGGAAGCGTCAAAAAGTCAAAGTATAGCGTGGAAAATTGGATATTTTTCAAGTGATCCAAAGTACTGAAGGGCAAAGCGAGAGGCGAACGCGATTGCTGGGCGTGCGAAGGTTGTACGGGAAAAATGAAGCCAAGCGAATGCGAAGAACAACAAAAAAACAGTGTATTATCGCCGATGACTCGTAATCGCGCCTTGGTTTACGGAACAGTTTTATTTTTTTCTTTTATATAAAAAAAAAAAAAAAAAAA